GAGAGCGGAGTGTAGGACTCGTATCTGCCTGTGTATGAGGCAAATCTTTCCTTCTTTGGGTCGCTGGCCAAAGATTACTCCGAGGCCTTTGACTTTCCCTTTGCCTTATGGCCTTGGCCTTCAGACAAGGGTATTTGTCTTTGTTTCCCTCCCCCAAATTGAGGTTGGGTTTTCGCTTTGTTCCATTCTTCGGCTCGGATGAACTTGTCCGAGGCATTCAGAGCTTCCTCCAAGGTCTGCGGGGTATGCATGACCATGAAGTCTAGGAACTTTCCGGGCTGAAGGCCATTCTGCATTGCAAAAACGGCTAGCCCCTGGTCCAGCTGGGAGACGCTAGATGATTCGTTACTGAAACGGGTCAGATAGTCTCGGAGGCTTTCGGTTTCCCCCTGCTGTAGACTCATGAGCTCTGCAGTAGTCTTCTCTCGGCGGTTTGCCGTGGAAAACTTGCTCCTGAACTTGGAGGACAGATCATCCCACCCTGTTATGGAGCCTTGCCTTACTCCCTTGGAGATCCACGCTTGCGCGACCCCCTTGAGAGTGGTAGGGAAATATTTGCACCAAGTCGCCTCGGATCTGGGGCAAAGATGCATATGAGTCTCATACGAGGCCACGTGATCCTTCGGATCCGAGGTCCCGTCATATGTGATGTGCGACGGTATTTTAACCGTGGGTACGCGCTCTTCCAGTATCCATTGCTCGAATGGTGAACTGGCGGGTAGCATAACGGCCTTGCCCTTGTTCCTGGCCGAAGGGACCGCGCTCCGCCCTCTTAGAGAGGTAGGAGTGGTTTTCGTCCCTGGCTGGGAAGTCTGGGCCTCGGCTGCAGGGAACGAGAGGCTACTGCGCATGCTCGGTTCCTTGCTGCCGAGTCGGTCAAGGACGCTTCGGCGAACAGTCTCAGGTTCTCGGTGAGTAGATTCTGGCCGAGAAGCTGAGCTGCTGCTCTTATGCGCTTCTGGTCTTGAGGATGAGGATCCTTTTAAAAATTGAGGGTTTTTTTTCCTCTCTTTTTCATTTTTCCAGGAATCCTCTTCCCACTCTTCCAGTTCCCGGAAGGAAGGAAGCTTCCCACCATCATGGTCTAACTTCCTCCGCTGATGCCGGGTATGCGGAGGAGTTCGATCACGAGGTGGTGGCATATTTTGTGCCCTCATCGCCTCCATGAGCACTGCCAGCGCTCTTGCCACCTCTTCCGAGCTGGGCCCCGTCAAAGGGGTCCTCGGCCGAGTATGGGAATGAGGGCGCGCAGCCGATGGTTGGCTTTGGGGCACTGAATGTGTCCTATGATCGGACTCACCCCTGCTAGACCGAGAGTGACTCGGCCTATAATGAGAGTCATGAATTACGGGAGAAAGGGAATCCTCCTTGTATGATCCTCCCCCCGAGCTGGCACCCTTGGGAGAGTTCCGGTCCGGCGAGGGTGATGGTGTAGGGGTTTTAGGCTTTTCGCCCGCTCCTTGACGGAGGCTTTTGCTCTTGCGGTTCTTAGCCATTGCTACTAAGATAATTGCAAGATGATCTTGGTTAGAAATTTGGCTTAAAGATTTTTGAAAGTCCTCCCCACAGACGGCGCCAAATTGTTTCGGGTGAAAACAATGGGACCTTGCCGAAGGTCCGCTGAAACGGAGAAGACTGGATTCGGTCCGAGTTATGCTGGGCCGAAGGTTTCCTGCACAGTAAACACACGTAAACTAGGCTCGGGGGTGTTGCCGAGGAAGGCCCCTCCGATGCTAAAGTCAGTACAATGTGTAGAAAGAGAACACTATGCAAGAGAGTTAGTTGCTTGAGGCTTTGCTTGAATATATGAGAATATATGAGAATGTATGGGAATCTATGAATAAATGAATGTATGAATATTGATGGCTTTTATACCTCTTCATACATGGAGAGGTTGGGCCTTAGCCCACTGGGCTTGCTTTGAGGGCTGACCTTTGACTTTAGCACAATTGGAGAGTTGAACCTTGACCTTGGGCTTTTAATTGGATCATTTAATGCCTAGGCCCAATTGGACTAAATTGGACCCAAACAGATTATATCTATCATCTATGGAGCAAAATAAGATATTTTTGTAAAAATTATTATTATCTTAGTAATTTTAATACATTATAATTTTTTCATATTATAAAGTTTGAAAAAAATGGTGTTTTATAATAATATGTAATTAATAATAAAATAACATTAAACACACACAAAACACAAACCTTTTAAATAAAACAAATGTACAATAAAATATTATACATTTGTTATAATTAAAGTGACACTAACATGTGCAAAAGTTACCTTAAAATGAATAAAAGTTATTCTGACATAATTAAGAGTTAGTTATACTTCATTGTTGATAAAAGTTACACAAAAATTTGTAAAAGTGACACTAAATTTGGCAAAAAGTGACCCCGATGTATAGTAAATAATTGTACACCGGCTGTATACAAAAGTTGTTGAAACATAACCCGTGCATCGCACGGGCTTCACACCTAGTAATATACAATTAAAAAGCTAATAAACCTTAACAATATTTGTAATAATTAAAGGAAAACAAAATTGTAAATAAGAAGAGCAACCACGAAGGAGTAAAAATAAATCATCTCGTGGTAATAAACAAAGTCTTCGTACATACAATTTTTTTTCCTTTTTAAATAACAATAATAACATATGAAGTACAAAACATTATAATTTTTTTTATTTAAAAAAAGGCATTACAAGTTTTTGTTAAAAAAAACTTTGTATTAATTGATGATATGTTTAATGAAAAAAAAAACCCAATCAAATATATTAATGAGGGTAAAAAAAGTAAATATACATTTTTGTACACAATTTTGTACATATTTTTGAGGGTATAATTGTAGCACACTATTCCTAAGAGTTATTTTCTACTTTTTATAAGGTAGGGAATCTAGTTAGCCATTTTTTATTTATTTATTTAATTGCAATACAAGCAATATTTGACTAGACAACCTAGTCCGTCCACCATGCATTATCGTATTCATCCACAACTTATGACATTATATATGTGTAATTTAAGAGCTATGATAAGCTTGAAATAACTCGGGTGTTGAATTGAAAAAAAAAAAATCATGCATTACGTGGGATCCACCACCGATTGATAAACTACAAAAATTTGGCCTTTTAGCAAAAGGTGAAATCCGTTGCTAATTGCTAAAAATCTGTCGTTGGACATAGCTAGCTACGGATATATCGACGGAATCACTCTATTGGTAAAAACCTTGTCGCTAAATGAATTTAGAGACGGAAAAAAATACGTCGCTGGACTTAGCAACGGAAAAAAAAAAAATCTGACATAGCTAGCTACGGATTATCGACGGAATCACTCTGTTGGTAAAAACTTTTCCTTGAATCTCCAATCGCAATATTGCTGTTAGTAGAAGTCACCCGTGACCTCAATGTCAAATAGTAAAACTCGTACAACTATACCAAATATTATTTGTTTACTTTTACGCACATAATTGATGATAAATGAAAGAAATATTAGAGACGGAATTTAAAATCCGTCTCTAATGTAGAAACGGATTTTCAAATCAGTCTCTAATTTAGAGACGGATTTAAAAATCTGTTTCTAGTTTAGAGACGGATTGAAAATCCGTTTCTAATTTAGAGATGAATTTAACTTGCATAATTCGTATCTAATGTATGTAATATTTTAAATAATTAGTTTCAAAAATTATCTAGAGACGGAATCAAAATCCTTCGCTCATATTAGCAACGGAAAAAAAAAAAAATCCGTCTCTAACTTAGCAACGGAAAAAAAATCCGTTGCTAACATAGCAACGGAAAAAAAATCCATCTCTAATTTAGCAACGGGAAATAAATCCGTTGCTAGATTCAGCAATGGAAAATAAATCCGTTGCTAATTTAGCAACGGAAAATAAATCCGTTGCTAATTTAACAACGGAAAAAAAATCCGTTTCTAATTTAGAGACGGATTTTCAATTCCGTTGCTAATTCCGTCTCTAAATGGATTTTTTTGATTCCGTCTCTAATTTAGAAAATGGATAAAATTCCATCGCTAGAATTCCTTTCTATATGGACATTTTTTTGGTAGTGATAATTCATCATTATATATATATCGAAAACCTCTCAGAGATCACTTTAAGAGTGAGGGGAAAGGGTATGGGAATCCCCGCTCTCAAAGTGTCTCTAGTAGGGTTTTTATCCACAATCTCTTGGTTATGAGACACAAACTTGACCACTAGACTAAGCTATGCTTGGTGATAATTCATCATTATATACGTACTGTATAAAAGATACAAACTTTGTTATGATTATATACGAAGTACATTATAAGGTACTAACAGAATACTTGGTAAGGTACAAGATACAACATTATTGTAGCGGCCAAATCGATATATGCATGACACACAACATACAAGATACAAGTCATACAACCGTATATGTGATGATGTGAAATGCTGAATATATGTCTTGGTGTACAAGTATTATATACACGTCATTTATACAAGGAATCAAATTTGGATTTTTAAGATTATCAAATATAAACACATCTATATTTCATCCAAAACTTAGTTGGATAATCGAGAGAAACTATAAAATCCAAAAATTAGAGTCAACTTCCAATAAATTCCATAGTTTTTGACAGCTTATACGCCATATGTAATATGAATCTAGATTGAAGCGGTTTAACACTTAAATCCATAGTTTTTTAGATAAACATTATCATATGTACTACAATAAAGTCCATAGTTTATGCAAACTTTAACTTTCTATTTTTAATAAATTAATTATCTAGTACATTCCTAAAAATATCTTGTCCATTCCTAAAAATATCTTGTCCATTTTTAATTAAAGTTGATAAAGATAGCTCGGGAAACATTACCTTAAAAATCAAAGGATGTATCATTTAAATAACAATGTAGATAAGAATCATATATTATGGTGGGCTCCACCTCATCACTAACTTTGAATCTATCTTACTTTAAAATCCAAAAAACTTGTTACAAATAAATAAATAGAGTGCATTAACAACAAAAAATAAAATTAAGAGTGAAGAAACAAAATCAAAAACAAAAGTTGAAGCACAAAAAATATCAAGTCATGGGTTCCTTAATGTCTGGATGGGATTCCCCGGTTCAAGATCAAAAATATGGTATGTAATTCTTGGGTCTCATGAAGTATATAATTGTAACATGTAAATTTAATGTAACACAATTCAGAAATCGTTTTATAAAATGTTGTTCCCGTGTGTACGGATTATTAGAATGCTTCATATCTACTGTTAAAAGTTATGGAGAAGCATTTAAAATAAGTTGTGTTCGTTAAGCCTATCACGTGTGACAATCCTTGTTTATGTGGTATCGTTCAATGTAAATCATCTTGACTAACTAAATTTTTTTGGTGATGATTAGTAAAATTGATGAGAAACAAGTCACTAACGAAAGAGGGCATTGAAGATTATTGGAAACTCAGGAAGAAAACAGAGGAAGAACATCTTAAAGCTGTTTCTCCTAGAGTTCAGGTATGAATAATGATTTATCTTTGATATAATTAATAAGTTTCTTAATTAGTTGTTAATCTTGTTAATTATTTCATTGATTTTTGAGATTTTAATTACCCATTTGCAGGATATAATTAATGAAGAATCTGCTCCAAATGAGCTTTAAAAGATCGACTTCGTTGCCAATGATTGATAGAAAGAGTAGTAAAATCATTGTAGGCAAGGAATCTGATGCCGATCTTGAACATCTTAATGGCTGGTAAGTTTATTTTGTTATTTTTAGAGGTGGTAAAAAAATTTGGACCGGGTCTTTAAACCCGCAAAAAAATATAGCGGGTTTTTCAAGGTGTTATTTGGATTTTGGACTAAAATGTGTTTTTAGGCTTGTCAAAGCCCGTTTTATTTTCGAGCCGGGCTGAATGTGATCACCTCTAAGTTATATGCACGGTCTAATGTATTTTGTAAAAATGGATATAAATAATCACGTTAGTAGTGCAATTTAAACTGCAATTGTACGTGTGCAGGTGGACAAGAAGCAATTGGGCATTCCTTAACGAGCCGCCGGTAATAGAAGGAGAAGTTTCCCAAGTACAAGTATGCCGCACAGTATCATGTTGCTAGGTTAGGATCAACTAATCCAGATACAAGAATCAGTAGCATGTGATTATACTTTTAAGTACGAGGTTTTTGATACAAGTGCTGTTTATGTTGTAAAAGTCCTTTGTATGATAATCCAAGTTGTTGGAGAGTCTATTAGATCCTAATCAATGTACTAGGCCTAAGGGTGTTATGAAAATGTTGTCATCACACTATAGTTATGAATTTATGATACATGACTATATGTGTATGATTAGTGGTCGGTGTGTAACAAAGATGTATTTTTGTTTAGAGTAATTTAAGCGTCTATTATGTGTCTGTAAATGTCTAATATATACTTTTACTGCGTATTAATTAGTTCTATTAATATACAAGTACGAGTATGCCTTATTACCTTTTTTTTTTTCTACAATTGATAGTTTGATACATGTGATGTGGTCCATTAATTACTTGCCAAACGAGGAAGTTGGTATGTGCCATTTTGGTAATTTCACCTATTACGAGAAAAAAAAAATGCTAGTTGACTCTGAGCAATGCTATGCTTGATTAATCTAAGCATTATCATGACAAAGACAACGTATGAAAACAAATGTTGGGTTGGGGACCATAATCTTGTTTATTATGGAGTATTCCGTTATGTTTAATACTATTATCATGAAATTAAAATTGTACATTGCATTGAAATGTGAGATTTGTTGGTTTAGAAATTTGATTATCCATCTTAATTAATCAATTTACAAGATAGGAATGAACAAAATTTCGTAAAATCATCCATAGTAAAAAATATTTTATATCTACGCTTAGGATCTTATTAGATCAAATAATGATTTATATAATTTTGAAATGTACTAAAATGAATCTGTTCTGATGTATAATTTGTCTAAATTAGCAAAGAAAGAAAGATAATCTTGACTATTCAAAAAACTGAGGTGCATAAAAAATTAAAAATGCTTCATTTGAAGTGTTGTTAATTAAAAGTTATCAATGACAAATCACCTTTGAAATTTTAAATAATAGTTATCCTATGAATATTTATTAATAGTATATTAAAAATTTCAACCTTTTGGTCTTCAAAAAACCTTCACCTAAATCAATGGCTTCCACAATGATAGGAATTTTGGAATGTGTCAAAATGCCTTCATGAAGAGTATTATCTCATTTTCCCTTTCTCATGGTGATTATGTGCCTTTTTTCTCCTATCCTTTTCTTTAGGTTATGACTCATCAATTCAAGTTTGATAGTGTTGATGCCACAATCTTGCTTGTTAATTGATTTTTTTAAGGCAAAGCTAATGAGCGCCCTCGGGGCGTTAGATAAGAGAACTAAAGTGCAAATATTAGAGTAAAATTAACATTAATTACACTGAACGACGCGTGATTTTGTCATGAATTCCTAACTTAATACCATTTCAACCAATATAATTTATCCTTATTGTTTTGGGTGTTTTGGTCCCTCGGGAGAGTTACAACATGAAGATTGATCCGCAGTGAGCTGTACTTGCAAAATAAACGGAGACACCGGTTGGGTGGTGCTCCGCTCCGACGCACAAGTTAGTAACCTGAAAGTCTGAAACGTAATAGAGAGAACGGATATTTAGGTGGGTATCTGCTCGGATTCCAAGCTCAGGTCTTTCTCTGATGTAAGAGAATAAGGTGTAATAAATGATTCAATTGTGTCCCCAAAATGGGGAAATATCTCCCTATTTATAGGGTCATTGGAAAATGTGCCCCTACCTAGGTCACTTGACCTAGATTCTGGTGGGCTGCGCCGTTTTACAGCGCTCCTAGGAGT